TTTAATTTAATTGTATAGATCTAAATGAAATAAATAACAATTAATTAGGCTATATATACCGGGGACAGCGCACTATTATCTTTTTGCATTATGTTTTTACAATAAAAGGGCGGGAAACGTCCTAAAAGAGCGGTATAGTCTATACTTTATACTACTATTCATTTTATCCGTTGGATTCATATTTTCAACAAATTACTAATACAATTTTTTGAGGCAAGATATATCTTTCTTCTTTGACTTTATCTTTTTAATCCAATAAATTACTAATACAATTTATTGAGCCAAGTTATGCGTTGTTCATATTCAACACGTTTACAAAATAAACTTAAAAATATGATTATATTCAATTTATTTTAAAATGTGAATGAATTTGACCACACTAAAACAAAATTGAGGCCGAGTCAATCATATATTTGAATCCCAGTGATAATTTAATGCATAGGTTCTCTTCTAAACATTTGGTCAATCACAAATAGCTTTGTTATTCTTACCCAACTTTTTGCTACATTTTGTTTATCAAATGGATGAGTGGGTCTCATTAAATATTTTTTTGATAGTTCCTATTATCCAATCACTCTAATTCATTTGATTAACAACATTCAGTAAAAAATTTGGTAAGTGCATCTTTACTCAATAAAAAAGGCAACTAGGATGTAATTCTAGGGTGATAATATTGAGATGTAAACCTAAATTTTTTAAATTCAAATTTTGGTAATTTTTTGAAGTCAAATTATGAGAAATTATCTTTCATGAATACCTTAATTCCGATGTAAATGATCTACCTTGACCAGACTTAAGAAGAGATTAGTTGAGGTGAATATGAGATGATTTTGAAAAAAAAAAAGTAAATAGGAAGTGATTTTGACCCCACTTCCAAGTCCCAACTTGGATATTAATTGCAGAATCAGTGTAGCATCAGAAAAAAACATTGTCTGCAAGAATAAATGTTGAGCCAGGAAGAAGTCAGGTAGGTGTCCAATTAATGCCAAAATAATCTACATTTTGGCTTTCCAGTGCTGCAATGTGGTAGAAAATTTTATGGTCGTATGCAAAATTCTATTGATACTGAATTTAGGAATTTAATTTAAAATTTTAATCAATTATATCTATTAAATTAGAATCAAACTCCATCAAACGTGAAACTCACACGTAATCATATATCTATAATGAATTAGATCACTCAATTAAATTCTCAAATTAAATTCATATAATATTGCTATGGTCGGATACATCTATCTGGTCTTTCCATAATGGTGTAAGGATGGAGTGTGCAATAGACAGGTAAAGTATATCATGTACAAAGAGACACCAGTGGGCTTTTGGTCCAATGATAGTCTTTATCTTATAAATGTTTTATCTTCTTAAGGTCAAAAGTTCAAATTTCTTTCCCCCTCTCCCTTCTCCCTCCCAAAAAATAAAAAAAATGTACAAAGAGGTAAACAACATCTTCCTTATAGGTCCAATGATTGAATCAAGGGAGAATTATATCTTGCATCTTAAATTTTTTTAAGATTATCATTTTACACCTTCAAAAAATAATTTTTTTTTTACATTATATTCTGAATATATCAAAAGCGTTGCAATATATTCCTTCTTTTAATTTTTCGTAAGTTTTTTAGTTAATGTCAATGAGTTGTCTTTTGATGAAAAAAGTAATGAAAGCTAACAGACATACTACATTATAATATTTTTAATATATTCATGATGTAATGTAAAAAATTTAATTTTTGAAGGTACAAAATATAAATTTTAAAATCTTTTAGAATATAAAATGTAAAAAACCCTCGAATCAAACACCAATACAAACCTATAGGTGTAAGTAGAGGCGTAGGCAACACTAAAATTTTTTGTCAGTCGCATGGTTCAAAGGATCGATTGACTACAATACGACTCGGTCAAGTTTTGCATATCCAAATAGGTACATTTTTGTTTCGATGTTGTAAATCACGACTCTCCTCGACTACAAATTGACTATAACTANCGGTCAAGTTTTGCATATCCAAATAGGTACATTTTTGTTTCGATGTTGTAAATCACGACTCTCCTCGACTACAAATTGACTATAACTACGACACTTTTCAAGACTTAATCAAGTTATGTGAGTCATTATCCTTGACTTATAGTGTAACATGCAAGACTATACGATAATGTCACACGTTTAATATAAACAACGATCACTTATCGTGTTTATTTTGTTCATTTATATTTTGGGCACATCGTCTCCANTACGACACTTTTCAAGACTTAATCAAGTTATGTGAGTCATTATCCTTGACTTATAGTCTACCATGCAAGACTATACGATAATGTCACACATTTAATATAAACAACAATCACTTATCGTGTTTATTTTGTTCATTTATATTTTGGGCACATCGTCTCCTAGTGTTTCACAATGTTGCAACGACTGCGTTTCAATATCCTCTGATTGCTGTTAGCACGACCCTCAACCATGTTTCTTTGGGTGATCTTTACTTCACTTAGACCTTATGATTGCCTGCTTTTCACTGGGATATTGGGGTATGCGGTATGCCCTTAGATTGAGTTGAATGGTCTAGGTTATGTAGTTGGATTTGATGCTTAGATGTATTAGCTTAGTTCTTGTTTATGCACTCGGTCTTTCCTAATTCTTTGGACAGATATGTAATATCTTTCATGTCTGTTACCTGTTTGTTGATATACCTAAACGAACTTCATAGCAAAAGCTTTTGATTATGAGGAAGCCATTTACTTAAAAATGAAATGGTGCCTAATTCCAAGATTGTTAGTATACATAACCCCATAACAATTTTTTTGGGTTTGCAAAGCAAGCAAATTTAGGACTACATCAAAATTGTAGCCTTGGCCCCTCGCCCCTAATATTGCTTTTAGAATAAGTTGGTAACAAATTACTTCCCAAAAAACAAGTTAGTAACAACTAACAACTATGAGGCAAAGAACAAAAGGGTTTCAATGTTGGATCAAATCTACATAGCATGGCGTGAATTTGCAAATCATGTAGAATTTCATAGTAGGCGGGGTTTGTGCACTGGGTACGACTTTCATCTAAAGTTCGCCTTTGCAGCCCACTTCTATGGTTAGTTTTTTCGTGTCCTTCACATAGCAGTAGTCTGAAAACTTTTGGGTTATATCCAGATTTTGTTATAAGCGTCAAAAACTAAATTTTGGTTCTGCTAGTGTCTTTGTACTGCTATTATGTTACAACTGCAGGATTTACAACAAGTTTATCTCATTGAAAAACACCATTGAGAGTCTGAAACAAGAAGACGAGCCTTTTGATTTCTTTACCCCCAGTACTACAGACTCAAATTTAGGTTGGTCAACGAATATCTGAAATTTGAAACCATTTTGCACACTTAGATCTCTCAGAACTTGAGTTAGTAAAACAACTTTAGGCTGACTTTTAGCAGCATCTTATGGTGAACTTTAGCTCACTTTCCATTTGCTCTTGCCTCTTGAAGTAGTTAATGTTAGAATATTTTATCTGTAGTTTTATTCATACTCCTTTTCACATTCATTAGTTACAAATATATAATACCAGAAAAAATCTTCTATTTTTGGCTATACAAATCAGGTTCCTATAAGCATGCTCTCGTGTGAAGGAAAGGATTTCTTTCCATCCCTCTTCCTATAATTCCTCCCATCTACTAATATATTACAACTCATGCCAACACTCCCCCTCAAGTTGATGCATACAGTTCCCTTATGCACAACTTGACTAGTGAGTTGTAGAACTCTTTGCTGGACACAACTTTGGTAAGTATATTTGCTAACTGGTCTTCAGACTTGACAAATGGAAATAAAATTTTTTTTAGTCTCGAGATTATGTTTGATAAAGTGACAATCCACCTCCACATATTTAGTTTTATCGTGTTGAACCAGATTATGAGAAATATCTATGGCAGCTTTATTATCACAAAAAAGACTCATTTTTGATGTGGGAGCAAAACCAATCTCGGTAAGCAACCTTTTCAGCCAAAGAAGTTCACACAAACCCTTGGCCATCCCTCAGAATTCTGCTTCTACCCTAGAGAGTGCCACCACCTTTTGTTTCTTACTCCTCCATGTCACAAGGTTTTCACCAACAAATGTGAAATACCCTGAGGTCAACTTTCTATCTGAGATGTTCCCGGCCCAATCTATGTCTGTATAGCCCTCAACTTCCAATTGATCATGCTTAGAAAACATGAGCTCTTTCCTTGGAGACGACTTCAAGTATTTCAGTATCCGAGTTACAACCTCCATGTGTTCCTCACTTGGACAATGCATAAATTGACTCATCACACTCACGACATATGCAATATATGGACGAGTATGANAAAAATAGTGGGGGGTGATGATAATATGTTAAAGTCTAGTGATATTCCTA